CCTTTTTACACCCAAAAAAATTAATTACCTTATTTTGTATTCACATGTTCTTTTCAAATACTGTAATCAGACAATAATGAGTAAGAATCAAATAGTTCATGGAATTATATGCCACAATCTAATTCAAAAAATTATAATTGGATAATGGACAGTTTAAAATAATGTAATTAAATTAGAATTGACATATCACATATTTTGACTTGATGGTTATTTGATTAAAAAATATTTTTTTAATTTATTTTAATAGTCTTGAATATAATAAAAAACCCAACCCCCTAAGCCGCCCCGCCCCTCTTGGCTGCCAAAATCCCATCCCCCACCCGCATATATAATATTTATATCATATGCTGGATGGCATGATAATTCTGTATACACAATATTAAATCATGTAAATGGTAAAAATATTGAGTTTGTAGAAGGTATTATGAGAATAATATGTCCTCATAGTACTCAATAATAAATTCAATACATTTCTAAAACTTTAAGGGAGTGTTTGGTTCAGGATATCTAAAATAACAAGGGTTGTATTTATTTATTTATTTTTTTTGAAAGTTACTGACTCTATTACATTGTAGTATCTGTTCATATACTTTCTCAACCTACTGAAACACAAGGGTTGTATTTATTTAGTTATGTAATATTCCTATGTTTGGTTGGAGTTGTATAACTTTTTCATGGAATCAAAGATAACCTCCATATCAGATTTTTGAGGGAATATGATTCCCCCCATCATCCTTAGGTAATGTGAGATTTCCTTGCATTGGTTATTTACTTACTTTGCTCTTGTTGAGTTTTTAGTTTTTAAGTGATAATAAAAATTATGCTTTATATATATATATATATATATATATATATATATATATATATATATATATATATATATGACAGGATAATGGTGCTGGCACCCGACCCGGATCATAAGCAGCATCTGACCCGAGACCACATGGAAACCCAACGGGCAAAACTCCAACGGCTGTCACCTTTACTGCCATTGAAGCCACCATTGATGTCACCATTGATGAGAGAGAATTAAAGGCTTAGCTCCCCATTTATGCTTCATGTTGTTACCGTTAGCAGCTTTTGTATAAGTAGGGACTCCCCTCAGCTTGGAGGGGGACGTTCAATACTCTGGACAAAGAAACAGTACTTTCTATACTGAGACAAAGCAATACAACTATTGTTACTCTCTTATAACGTTATTATAGTATTATTATCACCGGTAACATTATTACCGTCAATATATATATATATAATCTTGTAAAAAACTAAAATATTACATTTGTGCATAGAAGATGAAAATTTAAACTCGGGCAAAAGAATTAAAATAAAGCCTTTTGAACTTCATATACATGACATATGTTGATGGTATTAATAAAGTAAAATAACTATTATAACACAAACATAAACTCTTCAACCAAACATGTTTATATTACATACATCAGTTTTAACCAAGGTTGCAAAAACGTTAGGCGCCGATTTATTAATTTTAAAAAAATTAAATTAAAAATTATCAAAATTCAATAATAAAACATAAGGTTCTCATAATTTTTTCTTAAAAACTATTTATTTAAGTGGCTATAAAATTGTTTAAAATATTGTTGAAACCATCTAAATACATAAAAAAACTAAAATTAAGAGCAAAAGAAGCATTTTTTTTGAGAAATTGGTGGGGCAAAAGTTATGTCTTCGCAAAGTTTTTAACCCCGAACCCTAAAAAAAAAAAATCGGCGGTTCGGCCAGCTAGGCGGCTGCCTAACTGCCCGGCTGTGGAGGAGGCCGATTCCGGCCTTCCTTGACGCAGCCGGGCGGCGCCTAGACGCGATTTTTGCAACACTGATTTTAACCAAACACACAAATCCAACATTACCATGAATCTGACATTCCCTAAAGTAATCTGACATTCCGTGAACCAAACGACCCCTAAAACTTTATATTGGGTACAAGGGACAAAGTGTTGATTGAAATCGTAGTTTTTTCTGTGTGTGCATGTGTCTATATATATATATATATATATATATATATATATATATATATATATATATCATGACTCACATAAGAACAAGACTTCTCACGAGAAGTGCGAACAAATATTAACAGTTAAAAAATAAAGAAAAATAAGTAAAAAATAAAATAAAATAAAAAGTAGTGGACTAGTGGGGGTCAAGTTTGTAACAAATCCTGTCTCTTTTTTTTTTTTTTTTTTTTTTTAAATAACAATTGATCATCTTAGATGAACATAATTAGTCCATGATTCTCCTAGAAAGCCTAGTTTTCATTTTATCATAATATATACATATAAATCAATAGTCGAGTGTTGTTGAAAAATAATGAGAAAAGGAGTGTGTCAATTTTATAAACATTACAAACCTGAAGTTTACAATAATTATAAAATTGATCTCGTAATTCCTTTTTACTAAAACTTTTAACCATTGATGGGCACTTGTATCTATAGTCACTTGTTACAGAAAAATTATGTTCTAACAACACCACATATTAAAAATAGTATGTTATATTATATATATACATATTTACAATTTGAAAAAAATTGAACAAACGGGTTGAATTTTGTCAAAATATAAAGTTTACTCCATCAAATTATTTATACACAAAATGCCAACATATAATTCTTATCCTTACCAATAAAAGCATAAATTATGTGGTGGATGAGCTAATACTAATTAACAATTTGCAAATTTATGTACTCAAAATTCTTAAAGATCATATTCTAACAAAATAGCCCTCAAGTATTTGCAGATATTGGACTGTCATTTTCTGTTGTTAATAGACCTGCCAGAAAGCCTCTACCTCTGCCCACAAACCCAGTTTTTTCTGTCTTATCTCCCAATTTTGATTCAATCCCCCACCAAGAAAAATGATATAACAAAATTAGTTCTTTATTTTATGATTTGACTTTTTTTTTTCAAATGTAAACAAAAATATATTATAGAGTGCCTTTTATGCATTTTGTAATATCTAGTTTTTATTTTCAATATAAAAAAATGATTCTAAAATTTAATTATAAATAATTTAATCTAAATCTAAAAACATTATACGTGTTAATTCAGGTTATGTCCATGGTTTTGTCTTTTTTTTTTTTTTTTGTTTTTTTTTGTTTTTGTTTTTTGTTTCATTTATGTGCTAATAAATGTATAAATGGTATTTCAAATGTTGTACACTCACTACAAGTCTACATTGTTATTGTACAAAATTACTCTTAGCAATATTATTGGACATAATTACTCTTACACCATTATAACTTTGTTGCGGAGTACTATTTACTGAATTCTATCACTTACTAAATAAATAAAAATCATAAATGCACCATTATAATTATCATATATGATATAGAGACCATAAATTAACTTTTTAATGATTTTGCACCAATTATCTTTATAACTTTGTACATTTTATGTAACTCAAAATTCTTTAATTATATTTTTTCAATATAAATAAAAAATATTGTAATAAATATTAATTATTTCATTATAATATAGATTCTACAACTTATAATCTTTATTCATTATTAATTTATTATTATTATTAAATAAAATATAATCATAATTTTAATATTGAGTAATAATATTTGACACTTACTTTCGTGCATGATTGCAGTATATTTCTTAAACAAAGAGTTACCCGGAGTATCGGATTATCGATCCACATGAAAGTGGGGCGTATCAAGCACTAGCTACTAATCTATTCACGAGAAGCTAATCCTAACGAAAAGGGCAATTGAGCAATAACTAATTAAAAGAAAACAAAATAGCAGGTTGATGAAAGCAATAGATGAAGAATGAGATTCAAGTGTTTAATCACCTAGTGCCAAACTAAAGTGCAATATTTAATCTGGGTTTAAACAAGTGTGAGAATGCAAACAAAGGAAGGAATTACTCCCATAATTACAACCTAAGATAACGCGAGTGAATATTCATTCCCATGATATAAGCACTCAACAATGTAAGAACAAGCATTCATAATAAATTCTCAACTAAAAGCCATCTCCTAATGTGTAATAATCAAGAATTAACTCCTTAACAAATATGTCATCTCCCAAGGTGCAACAGTTAAGTGCAATTATGTGCGCTCTTAATTATACCCTAACTCCCGTTAAGACATAAAGATAGCTATGAAAGAAGTAATTTGGATCGTTAATTACTAGCATCAACAATACAAATCACAATTGCAACACAAGTTATAAAACCCAAATATAAATATATTAAAGGAATCTGAGAACTAGGTACATAGGTTCATAAACACTTTTACTCAAGAATCTCTAATATAACTTAGCCACACATGGCTAAAATAGAATTCATTGCAATAATATAAAAGAGTTTACAAGCAACAAAGAAAGTAAAGAAAAGGTAATGAAATTCGCCCGAATCTTCCTAGCCTTTCTCTTCTTTCGAGATAACTTGTAGCTCTAGATCTCTTCTCTTGCTTTAAAAAATGCAGCTTCTTAGTCCTTAGGGTTGATGGAAGATAGGATTTTTATACTTGAAGCTCAATAGGAATAGATTAGGGAATTTCCGCACAACTTTCCAAAATCTCATCCAACTGGATTTTCGACGCATCAAGTTTTGTTTCCTTTCTTCGCGTAGTCTACTGGAATTTTTTGACGCGTCGAGTTTTTTGCTGCATCATAGGTTGTAGCCCTTTGAGTCTTCTTTCCAATGGCACAAGAATCACTTGAATAGGACACGACACGATTGGTGGTTGACTAGCTTTTTTGGTAGCTTCAGTTCTGGGTTTAGTATATTGGGAATTGTCAGGATTTATGTATACTTTAACAGTCCGTTACTGTTTTTATGCGTGAACTTTGTGTGTATAACTTAGATGCCGGGTTTTTTGGAATTTAATCTAGTTTTGTCCTATAATTTTGGTGTACAGTTGCTGGTCTTTTTATGTGCTTCTTTGTCAAGTTCGTGTGCCTATAAAGTCATATCGCAGATTGCTGGGACGTGTTAAATATGTTGGCTGTTTTTTATTCTTGTGTGCTCAGCTCACAGTTCATGTGTGTTAACATGTGTGCTTTCATCTCTGTCTATCTTCCTCAACTTTCTTGGTCTTCCAGGCTTGCTAGTGTACAATGGAGGCAATGGTGGTTCTTGGTTTGAAATGGGCCATTCTTTAGGACCAGACAATGGCTTAATCCTTCCCCCATATGTATTCAAGTAGTTGGTAATAGAGTAGCAAGGGTCTACATAATGATGTACTGGAACATTACCATGTCTAATCCAAATGGCACACACAGCATGCTTACATGGTATCCCTGTTAAGTCCCACTTTCTACAGCTACAAGTACCCCTAAACAAATCCATAGAATGCTGCTCTATCCCCCCCCCCCCCCCCCCCAACACTGACATGCACCTTATCTCAAATAAGTTTTCATTTGCTTGATTCCCTAAACACCCACTGGCATCCTTCTCAACTGAATCTATCTTTTTCATAATGTTAGGACAGAAAGGTCCTTTCCATTTCACAGGTTTCTGTTTATTTTCAAAGAACTTTGTCATCAATATTTTCCTAATAGTTTCAAGACAAGAAATCAGAGGTTGTTTCCTTGCATCTAGTATAAGTGCATTGAAACTTTCAGAAATGTTGTTAACTAAGGCATCACTTCTAGCAAAGGGAGTGAAATGTGACCTTGACCATTCTGAAGGGTGTTTATCTCCTAGCCACTGATATGCCTCTTCATCCAACTTCCTAATTTCTGCCATAGCTTCTCTGAAGCTGTTAACTGTAGTTGCCTTGGCTATTGTCCAGAGTGCATCCTTCATTGCTTTGCCTAGAAATCCTCCAAGCTTCATGTTCCCATGAAGATGCCTCACACAAAATCTATGTGAGGCATATGGAAACACTTCGTCAAAAGCTGGAAGAAGCCCTTTCTGTTTGTCTGCAACCAATTTAAAAAACAAAACATATTACAGATATGGAGAGTATAATAGATTACACTAGTATGAACAATGTTTATACCTGAGATAAATGTAAGCTGCTGTTCTGCTTCACGAGTGATTTCTAGGTCTGTTTTAATGAAATTCAAGAACCAGATCCATGAATCCTTGGTTTCTCCTTCAACAATGGCATAAGCCAGTGGGAAGATACTGGCATTCCCATCAATCCCAATAGCTGTTAATAATTGACCTCCAAATTTAGTTTTTAAATGACAACCATCAACTCCAATTAGCTTCCTACAGAACTTATATCCCTCCTTTGAAGCCTCCCAACAGAAATACATCCTTAGAAACCTAGGTTTTTCTTCATACAGTAAGTCACTGACCTTCACCTTGCATGTAGTGTTAGGGTTTGTTTTTTCAATCTCTAACTTGTAGCTCCATATTTTGTTGAAAAATTCAATAGCTTCTCCTTCAATGATTTGCTTTGCTTTTTTCATAGCTCTATAGGCTTGCTTGGTGGACAAATCAAACCCCTCATCTGCTTTGACCCTCTCTCTAAATTCTGCAGTGGTCCAGTTGCTGTTGCCACCAATCTCTTTCATCCATCTCTTTGCAATCCTAGTTGATTTCACCATGGTGTTCTCATAAACCCAACCACAGCCATCATGCAATTCATTATAACTGGCAATTCTCCATGACAAGGCATTTTTAACTTTCCAAAGATTAATTCTGAAAGGGCAACCAGCTTGTTTACATCTAACATAGACCCTCTCTTTGTCATTCCTAATAAACTTCAATTCCTTACCATTGTTGAAACCATAATTGTGGACTGCATCTTTGAATTCTACCTTTGATGCAAATGTTAAACCAACACAGAATTTTGGGGAACGCATTTGAGTGGTAGCCCTAAATTCTGGCCATTTCATGTTGCCTTCTTCATCACTGTCCTTAGCACTATCTTCATCAGACAATTGTAGACCATGATCATTGTCTACAACCCTAGTACTCTCCCCATCAACAAGTTGTTCACTTTCTCTTACCCCATCAAACTCCACATTGTTATCAACATTGGCCTCAAACTCTAGGTCATCATTTCCCACTTCATCACCACTGTTCTCAAACTCATCTAAATAATCCCCAGATTCTGACTCACCCTCACTTTCTACTGATGGTGCTTCACCCTCACCTTCTCCACCACCTACTACCCAAACCTCAATCTCTTTGGGAAACATTCCAACATCGCAAATAGCCCAACAATCGCTATCATTACTTAATTCAAATATGGTGTCACTACCAGTAGGGGTGAAATATTTAAAGGTGTCTAACATATTGTATCCCAACTCCTCAATTGTTTCCCTAAGAGTTATCATGCCCCACAAATCAATGTCTAAATGAAAACTGTTAACAACCCCTACAATATATCCAATTCCATGTGTCTTAAGACGACCACCATGTCTTAACTTCAGATTGAATTGAGCTGTGTTACTTCCTCCATCTATGTAGCAATTTAAAACAGTTTACTAATTAAAAGTCAACAAAGCAACAAAACAGAGAAACATACAAAGCAAATTGTGGTCCCCTTTCAAAGGAAAAAAAAAAAGCTACTGCCCGATGTGGTCCCCATTTGAATACACAAACAAATGGAGATGTACTGCATTTAAAGTGAAACACCACTAGGGATGGCAATTTCAATCCGCCCCGTGGATATCCACCCGAATTCACCCTGCATGGATTGGGTTTTTTTTTTGGGTGATGGTGGGTGGTGGGTCGGGGGTGGGTCTTAAAAAAGTAAACCCGCGGTGGGTCGGGTTGGATTCGGGTTCTATGTACAAAACCCGCCTAGAACCCCACCCGACCCACCATGTGTGTGTGTGTATATAAAATAGTAAAATAAGTACTAGTGTGTAGTTATTTATAAAAGTTTATATAAGTTCGTGTATCTTTTTACTATTTTTTATATCTAAACTATTAAGTTTATTTTTAAAAATTAACAATTTAGTTATTATATTTAAATATTTCTATTATTTTATGTTTGAGTATCACTAATGAATTTTATTATCTTATTTTGTGTAAGTAATTTAAATATTATTTTTTGAAAAACATAATAAGATCATAAGTGGTGGGTACCCGTAGTGGGCACCCGAACCCGGTGGAGGTGGGGGTGGATTTAGAAAAAGTCCACCCGATGCGGGTTGGAGGTGGGGGTGGGTGGAGAAAATATAAGGTGGATCGGGTGATGGATGTAGTCCTCCCCGACCCACACCCGACCCATTGCCATCCCTAAACACCACCCACACCATTCAAAGCATATGGGTATCAAACAACAAACAACCACTGACATGTACAGAATATTTAAAGCTAATGAAATTGCACTTTTTCAGTTCAGTATATACCCACAACTCACACTATATATACCAGCAACAAGCATAACAAATCAACCTATTTCATATTCTACCACACATTAACAAAACACATACAATTTTGAAACTATTATGTTCACTACATACACACAACACTCAAATTCACCTAGGGTTTCGCTATTATTCTCAAACTACGTATACATACAACGCACAAAAATCCAAAATTACTGGGGGTATTGTTGTCGCCTTGTCTGACGCCATCCATTGTGCTTGCTCCCTACGTCCTCGCCTTCGCATTCGCCTTCGAGAAGATTTGGGTTACTGGGGTCTTCGAACTTCTGAGCTGCTTCTGTTCGTATAAGTTTTTTATTACAAGTAAATAGCATTTGACTAATAGGCTTAGAGAAGAAAACCATTTAATAGACGTGTTTGCCCTTCTGATAAACGGCTAAGAGACGGAGTATGTGACGGAGGATCAAAAGTGTCCACCGTTGAATAACGGTGGCTACTAAATGGCAATTTTTATTATGGAGGATGAAAATTGTCAACACCTTAATAAGTCTAGGACCAAAAATAGCATTAACTCATATAATTAGGTTTAAATGCGGTTGGTGCGCCCAAGTGCGGTTGTACGGTGCGAGGAGAGCCATTTGATTTCGCTTAAACCAACGTCTAGGATTACCAAAATTTTAATAAAATAAAATATATAAAAAAAACGCAGTGGCAATTTGGTAAATTTTGCATCTAGGTCAAATTTAAGGTGTGTGGTTTTTGTGCTTAAGGTGCGTGAGTTTTGTGCTTAAGGTGCGTGAGTTTTGTGCTTAAGTGCGTGAGTTGTGTACTTAATGTGAGTAGTTGTTGAAACTTAAGGTGCGTGAGTTCTGTGCTTAAGGTGTGTGAGTTTTGTGCTTAAGGTGCGTGAGTTTTGTGCTTAAGGTGCGTGAATTTTGTGCTTAATGTGAGTAGTTGTTGAAATTTAAGGTGCGCTGTTTTCCTTCTTAAGCTGCGTGATTTGTCACCTAGTGCCCATCTAAAGAACAATATTAAATCTAGGTTTAAACAAGTGTGAGAATGCGAACAAGAGAAAAAAATTACTCCCATAACTCCAACATAAAATAACACAAGTGAATATTCATTCCCATGATATAAACACTTAACAATTTAAGGATAAACATTCATAATAAATTCACAACTAATAGTCATCTCCCAATGTGCAAAAGTCAAAAATTAAATCCTTAACAGATATGTCATCTCCCAAGGTGCAATAGTTAAGTGCAATTGTGGGTGCTCTTAATTATATCCTAACTCCCGTTAAGACATAAAGATAGCTCTGAAATAAGTAATTTGGATCCTTAATTACTAGCATCAATAATATAAATCATAATTGCAACACAAGTTATAAAACCCAAATATAAATATATTAAAGAATCTGACAACTAGGCACATAGGTTCATAAACAATTTTACCCAAGAATCTCTAAGATAACTTAGTCACTCATGGCTAGAATAGAATTCATTACAATATCAAACCCAGAGTTAGCAAGCAACAAAGAAAGTAAAAGAATAGATCAAGAGATTCTTCCAAATCTTCCTAGTTTTTTTTTCTTTTTCTTTTTCTTTCCGATGCAACTTGTAGCTCTCGATCTCCTCTTTCTTGTCTCCAAAATGCTGCTTTTTTCCCTAGGGTTGAGGGAAGATGGGCTTTTTATAGCGGGAGCCAAACGGGGGCAAAAGATGAAATTTTCGCGCAAAACTGATTCCGCCCAGGTCGACGTCTCAACCCGTCGAGTTCTCTGATCTCGAACAACAACCTTACTAGAAATTTTTAACGCGTTGAGTTTGATTCTCGACGCGTCAAGTCCTCTGTTTCAGCACTCCAACTATGTTTTGACTCCAAGCATGCTTTAGGACCTCCCCTTGCCTTTGCAATTGATCTACAATGGTTTCAAAACACTAACAAACACCGTAAAACATTCAAAATAAGTATGAAACCATACCTTTATGAAAAAACAGGGGAATATGCACTGAAAGTATCAATTTAACGAACTTAAAACCCAAAAGTATATTAAAATTAGTAATAGAATCATGCACAAATAAGCTCACATCAATTTGTATGCTTAAGGTGCATCAATTGTGTGAAACTTAAGGTGAAACATTTAAAACCTTAGGTGCGTGGTTTAATTTGTGTTCTTAAGGTGATTTGTTGTGTGCTTAAGGTGTGTGATTTGTATTCTTAAGATGTTTTGTTTGTGTGTTTAAGGTGCGTGGTGTCGTAGTTTGTGTACTTAAGGTGCGCCATTTTAATGATTAAGGTGTGTATTTTGCACAACCACACGAGAACTGTTCCCCACACCTGAACACTTCCCTATATATATAAACCATTCGATATTGTTTATTCGACCAATTCGATTTTTAACGAAACCAAACCGAAACATTCAGTTTATAAAATATAAAACCAATCGGTTTTTAATAATAAATCAAAAAATAACTGTTCCGTTCAGTTTCGCCTTGGTTCATATTAGGACTCTATGTATCTGAGTCTGTTTAGAACTTCTTATCCTTGTCACACTGTGACTCTCTACTTCTTATCCTTATCACACTGTGACTCTCTATTATATATATTCACATCATCTGATCTCATTGTAATCAAGTTCAGAAAATATAATACAATCAGTTCTCATCTGGTATCAGTTAGCTAGGGTTTTGTGACTCATAAAATCAAGAAGATGCAGCGCTGCGGTGGCAACCTTAATTACTGTGGAGGTCAGCAACGTGGCTTCGATGATTCGTGTCAAATCTGTAAAGGTTTCGGCCACACAGGAGTCAATTGTTTTTGGTGCTATGACGATCCGTGTCAAATTTGTAAACGTTTTGGTCACACGGGAGTCAATTGTTTTTGGCGCTATGATGATCCATGTCAAATTTGTAAACGTTTTGGTCACATGGGAGCCAATTGTTTTTGGCGCTATAATGATCCGTGTCAAATTTGTAAAAGTTTCGGTCACACGGGAGTCAACTGTTTTCGGGCGATATTCAGGGGCTCCGGGTTCTTAGGCTAATTTGGTGTTTCAGAATGGTTTAGTTGCTAAAACCTCGTAAAATTTTCATACTTGTGTTCCGGGAACTGGAGCCACAAATCATGCAACTCCAAACATCGCTGCCCTTTCTACATCGGAGAAGTACACTGGTAATGACACTTTACGTGTCGGTGACGGTATGAGTTTATCTATTAGTCATGTTGGCCATGCCTCTTTTAATACCCCTTCTAGATCATTTACATTGTCTGATATGCTTCACGTTCCACGTTTGTCTACTTCTTTATTATCTGTTCAGAAGTTTGCATCCGATAATAAAGTCTTTTTTTGAGTTTCACCCCTCCTTTTTTGTTGTGAAGGATATCAATACCAAGGAAATACTTCTTCGGGGCAATATTTCGGGGGGACTATACACACTTTCAATACCTAGTTCGTCTCCGTCAGCGTTCCTTTCCGCTCGTGCCTCGGCTTCCACTTGGCACAATCGTCTGGGTCATCCTCATAACCGTGTTCTTAGCCATATACTTCGTTCTTGTTTGGTTAGTGGGCCTCGTGATAATATTCGTTGTCATAATTCTTTATGCAATGCGTGTCAATTAGGCAAATCTGCCCATTTTCCCCTCCCTCGTGTTGCTTCCTCTAGTTCTCAAGTCCTAGATCTTATTTACACAGACATTTGGGGTCTTGCGCCCACTTTATCTACTTCTGGCTTCCGTTATTTTGTGATCTTTGTGGATGACTATTCCCGTTATACATGGTTCTTCCCTATGAAATTAAAGTCTGATCTTTATGTCATCTTTGATAAATTTCGTACTCTTGTTGAACGGTCCTCTAATTGCAAAATAAAGGTCATTCAGTCTGATTTAGGTGCTGAGTACAAAAAGTTGCATTCTTCGTTTGTTCAATTAGGAATTCAACATAGACAATCCTGTGCCTACACACATGAACAGAATGGTCGTGTTGAACGGAAACATCG